TAGTGCTACAATAAACATAGGGTTACAGGTGATCTTTTGAATCAGTGTTTCTGTGTCCTTTGGGTAGATCCCTAGGAGTGAAATTGCGGGATCATATGGAAGCTCCATCTTTAGTAGGTTGAGGAATTTCCACACAACTTTCCATAGCGGTTGGACCAGTTTGCACTCCCACCAGCAGTGCAGGAGAGTTCCTTTTTCTCCACACCCTCGCCAACATTTGTTGTTGCTAGTTTTTTGGTTGTTTTTTTTTTTGTTTGTTTTTTGTTTTTTTGTTTTTTTTTTTTTTGATATGTGCCAGTCTTACAAGGACAGTAAATTCTCAGAGGTGCTAACACACTCCCGAGATGAGGGCAGAAATCCAGGAGGACTAAATAAACAAGGACAGTAAGTCTTTAGAGAATAAGACCTTGGATAGGGGAGGTAAAAGGAGAAACTCTAAGATAAGAGCTGGGAAAATGGGCTTATGTGCCGAGAGGAGTAGGGCCACTGAGGGAGAGAGACAGTCACAAAGTAGGAGGATGAGATTTTAGAGTAGAGAAAATAGGTTTCAGTACCCCTAGACACAGGCTCATAGAGGCTTCCTTGTCCCTCCCAGTCACGGTACACCAGGGAGACCTTGCTTGCTTCCTTTAAATAAACTGTTCTTTACTTTCTTGAGTAAAGTTTGCTTCTCTCTGCTCACCTATCAAGAGATAAAGTCTTTAGATTCCTTTTAACAGCTTCGTGGGACAAGAACCTGTGGTGGTTTGAGGGTTAAATTTCTGCTTCTTGGGCCTCCCTGGTGCGGAAGGGGTTAATAAGCAACCTATGAAGCTGTCCACAGCCTCTGCAGCATGAGTTCAATCCCCACAGGCCAGGGAGCTACCCACATGGTGCAGAGACCTCTCCTGTCTCCCCATTGCTCCCCTCAGCAGTGTATTTCAGTCAGTCCGCCTGTTCTGCTCCCACTCTGTCTCTGGTGAATCCTCTCACCCCGCACCTCTGGCCTGTATCCCAGTTCTTGTATGCATGAATAAATAAATCTTTAAAAAAATTAAACAAAAATTCTGCTTTTCACAATTAGACCAGAGTGAGAAGCAGCAGCAGTCACAGGCGCAGCAGCAGTAACAGTGCACACCAGCTTCAGGGTCTACACACACACACACACACACACACACACACACGTAAGATGAGCAAGACTGCAGGCATTTTGAGAAATAACTGCCATCTCAGAAGGGCACAGCTAGGTTTCGTTTCGGGGCAAAAACCACAGCCAAGGGTAAACGAAACCTAGCTGGCACCATGAGAGCTATCCAATCAGGGTGGACCCCGCCCCAGGTGTGAAAAGTACCCGCATCCTGTCAACAAAGTACAAAAACAGCTGGTTGCTCTGGGAGGGGGTCCCTCTCTCAACCTGGTGAGACTGCTGTGTCAGTACTCCAGGCAGAGTCAGGCCCTAGCTTAAGCTAGCAATAAAGCCTTTTTGCTTTTGCATCTCTGGCTCCGTGTGGTCTTTGGGAACCCCGGACGGAGTTGAGGCACCAACTCCTAACACACACACACACACACACACACACACTAGTGAGAGGCTGGCAGTGGTGCTGGGATGAGCACTGCTTTATTTTTTTCTATTTACTTATTTATATATGCATATTCTACATCTTTGTTTATTTTTGTACAATGTATGTTTGCATGCTTTCTCCTTTCAAATGCAGTCCCCATAAAATCCCCACCACCAATCCCCCGTGACCAGTCACCATCATCCCTTGGCATGCCACTTTGTGGGGCACACTACCTCCAGAAACAGGCAAGCACCTCTCTTTGAAGAAGGCTTTGACTTGGGGAGGTGGGCTGGGTGGAAGGGATTCCCCTCGCTCTTCTCCTTGGCCAAGACTGTGTTGTGAGGACACCCATCACTGCAAGGAAGGGTGGGTGACACTAGAGGGGTTCCTTGGTGCCCTGAATCAGAGCTCATTTCGGGAGGAGGAGTGGATGAGTAAGGGGTGAGTACCTGGCAGGATCTAGGGGATGCCCCAGGTGTGACAAGCTCAAGAGTCACATAAAGTTTGAGGTGCCCGTGGGCATGGGGAGAGTGAGCAATTATGTACACTGTCGGGTGGGGACACCCACCTGAAGCCAGAAGTTCAGGGTGGCCAGCTGCTTCTAGAAGTTTCCCAGCCCGTCCCATGACTCTGCCCTATGGAAACGATGTGTCCTCTAGACTACCGAAGTAAGCAGGAGGTGCTGGACCAGACTTCTAGAAGAGAGTGCTGCCAAGGCTCTGGATGGCTCCCGTGAAGGAACACTGGCCCGCAGTGAGCTTGGCAGTCACACAGCACACAGCGCCTCTGCTCCCTCCGTGGTGCAGAGTCCTTCCTTTGGTGAGACCCCACGAGCATCTTAACCGCTGTTACCCTTGGCTGATCGAGGGGGGATGTCCTTTGCACCCTTCCCATCACAGTCTGGATTCTCAATTGCAATCAGCGCCTGTCGGGAAGGCAGCCTCCTGGCTCGCTGTTAATTATCCTTTTTAATTATGCTGAGAAGGGACTTTCTATCCTCAGCGACTTGCTGTTCGGCATACCCAGAGCAGGCCTGGGAGGGGGCAGCCTGCTGTGTTCTCTGGCAGCTCCACAGCAGCCCCTGTTGGGGAGCCCCTGGGACCTAAGAGTGGGCCGGGCAAGCCGATCTTGACTCTTTTCCACGCTCTCTGGCTTCATTCCCCACACACAGCTTCTTGGAGAGGGATTTCTTCTCAAAAGAGCACTTCACAGCTCTTTGGCATGGCATGCTCACGCAACTTCCCCCACCCTTCCCCTCATGTTTGTGGCCAGGACCCCTTCTGGGAGCCTCCTTCCTCCTGGATTGCAAGTTCTCCCACATGGCCTCGTTGCTCCCCCATCTCCACCTCGACACCATTAGCCTCCATCTCTCTCCTAGGCATCAGGCTTCCCTGCCGGCCTCTCCAATGTGACCTGCTTTTGCACCTGCTCTTCTGCCTGAGGTGTGAGTTTCCCATGTGTGTGTATGCATGCATGTGTGTGTTTGTGTGCACGCGCGTGTGTCTGTGCATCAGCTCTAGAAACCCCCGACTCTAAGGCCTCAGCAGCCATGCCCCTCCCGTGCGAGGGTGGCTCCTTTTTGTCACTGCCCATCTTAAACACACCACTGTGCAGCATCACTGTGGCCAAAACAGTTCTTGTTGGCTTCCCCCAAAGCTGTGAGTGATCAGGTGGCAGAACCACACGTTCATCTCCGTGACCTCAGTACCTCTGGGAAACGCTGAGCGCGTTAAGTGAATGAATGAACGAGTGAACGCATGCCCGGGGGTCGGGAGCCAGGCAGAGGTGAGTGAACGCTCATGAGAAAAGCCACCCAATGTCTATAGACTCCAGGGCAGGACGGGCTCTGGGACAAAGCCAATGAAATTTCCCCTGGAACATGGAGGAACAAACCTACCTATGTGGGCTGTTCCCTGGCTCCGCAAAGCTCACTCACTCACACACACACACACACACACACACACACACACACACATTCTCTCTCCCTCCATATTCCCTGGCCCTCGCCCTTTCTAGAAGCCACGGGGAGTAGACACTCCCCCTTCCCCAAAGGACGTCATTCCCAAATGGTTGTTGAGGGGTCTACGCTCCCCAGCCTCACTCTGCCTCTTGCCCATCCCGCCCTCAGCCTGGATCTCTGCCTACCTCTCTGGCCTGCTTGTTCAGGCTGCGTGGCCCTGAATTCTCTTGGGCTGACAGGAACATGGTAGTGCCCCAGCTCCCAGGCTCCTTCGGGCAGGCTGTCCCGACCCACCAGACAGGGCACTGCCCTGGGCTCCCATCCGGGGGAGCGGTCTCTGCAGGAGCCTCCCTGTGGCTTCCCCTGTGATACAGGTTTCTCCTGTCTAATTGCCCCAGCTTCCAGGGACCCCTCGAGGGGCACAGGTTCAAGTCCACGGCCACTGTCCGACAGATCTTCGAATCTCAGTGTGACCAACTTCACACTAATGACTTCTGTGCTTCATTCACCTCATGGAGAGAGAGGAGTGTTGCCCCTGGCTGCCCCCCACCTGCCCCGGGCACACACCCCCTGTACAGCACAGGAGAGCTGTCCGGGCTGCACCCCTGGCTGCACCAACAATTACGTGTGGCCTTGGGCAAGAAAACCACCTGTCTGTGTGGGAGGGAGTGACAGAGGGAATGAATGGAAGGAGTTAAATTTCCAGTGAAATAACTAGAAAGAAGCTCCTTGCACCCGACTTTGTAACTTTTATTGCTTACAGATACTATGGTTGGCAGAGAGCTAACCAGCAGAGGGCTAACTAACGCTGCCAGCCACAGGACAAGGCAGGGCTAGAGCAGTGACAGTGCTGCCACCTGAAGCAAAGCCAGAGTTTTTACCCAAAAAGCAAGCTAAGATTCCGCTGTTCATGCTCCAGGGGGTGCTGGGAAGGAGCTGGGCCACCGCTGTGTGGCATATTGCTGAGGAGCTGCAGAACCCTCTGCTGTGGGTAGAGGAAAGGGAGGCAGACGGCTGGAGGAAGTGGCGCTCGGCTGCCAAGCTTGGGCTCATGGCCACCAAACTCAGCCTCTTACAGGGCCAACTTCTCAGGCCCCTACAGGCCCCCCGCAAGACCCCAGACTTCCTTCTCATCTTTGCAATGGCGTGCTGGCACTTAGGGCTCAGATGTATGAAACATCACCGAGCGGCACCCACCAAGACATGAAGCCGGCCACCCGGCCCGTCCTCCCCGCCTATCACCAGTTCCCATCACCTGCTTCCCAACCAACTGCCATCTGCACACCGGGGCAGGGCCAAGGCCTGCCAGGGCCCGCCCAGTCAAACTCCAAACAAATGGCAGGCCACAGCTGGAGGGACCATAGGATCCAGTCTCCTGCCCCCAGCACCTGCCGGAGCAGAGGGTGACAGGATTAGCTCAGCAGAAAAGTCACAGATAATCACAGTCCACTGCCCTGAAGACAGACGTGGAGGGTGAAAAAAGAAACACACATTTTTATAGTGTTTTCATCAATTTTTTTGTTTGTTTCATTTTGTTTTGAACACTAAGATTTATTTTCAAACAGCACACGGACAGTCTGCGGGCCAGGGCCGGGCCTGGCTGTCGTCTGGGCCCTGAGGTCTCTGGAGACACTGGGCCCCTCCCCCAGCAGCTGCCAGGACAAGAGGACCGTGCCCGGGTGGCGGTGGCGGGGCCGAAGCTCAGGCAAGCGTGGTGGCTCAGCGCCCCGGCCCCTGCGGCCGGGCTCACATGCGGCGTCGCCCTGGGGGGAGCAGGGCAGGGCGGCCAGGAACTCAACTAGGGGACACAGCAGCTTCAGGAACGCTGGCGATTCTGCTGGACTTGCCGGCACCAGGCTCTTTGGAAAACCACCCAATCTTTGGGAGAACACCTCTCGACTCCGGTCTCTCCCCGCGATTTCCCTTCACTTTTCAAAAGTTTAAAAACAAAACGGAAAAAAAAAAAGAAAAGAAACACACATTTTTCGGGAAAAGGTGTTCTTCACACGCACAGAAAGCTGCCCTCACTGGACCCGCTCGGTGAAGTTCTCGGGGAAGACGCCCCGGCATTTCTCCAGCTCCTTGTGCTGGTTCCAGTCGCTCTCCTTCACACCCATGAGCCAGCCTTCATCCTGGGGAGCACAGCACCAGTTGGCACAGGAAGGGGGGAGCCCCACAGGGTGTGGGCCCCAGGAGCTGCCCCTCCTACAAAAGGTTCCAGCCTGTCACAGATGCCAAAGACCTCCTCCTCCAGGCAGCCTTCCGGCTTCCCCAGGGAGACCCTGCTTCCTGCTTCCCAAAGCCACCGACCCGCACCAGTCTTCCCGCCCGTGGGTGGGGTGGATGTGACCCTTTGCTGTTTGGGGAGTCCTCCCCATCTCAGAAAGGCAGCCTGACTAGTGCACTTGCCTGAGCGCATCTAACACCTCTCCCAACCCCAGGCTCCTGAGCCACAGAGGACGTGTCCTGAGGAGGACATCAGCGGTCCTTCCAGACTGCCCACAAATACCAGAAAATGTTGGTGATTGCTGAACAGTTAAAAGCTTCTAAGAGTGACCTGAGACCGCCCCACCGAGCCCTCCAACTCAGATTCAGCCTTTGCTTTACTGCTGACCCTTCACAGCGGTCGTCCACCCTGACCCAGGCTGGGCTGCATGGCCTCTCAGCCCCACTCATGGCTGAGGCCCTCGCTGCCCTGCTGCCGGGCTGCAGCTGGGAGCCACCTGGGTCTTTCTGGTGTTTCAGTCTTGTCATCACCCGCGTAGTGTGTCTTCAACCTGAGCCACTCCCACCCCCCCCATTCCTGCTGTGGGCTGGCAGGATTCTGCCTCTGAAAATCCCACCCAGCCTGTGGCCAGCCCCCAGGGAAGCAAGGGAGAGCAAAGAGACACTGATTCAGAACTAGGCACAAGAAACCCTTGTTTCTTAAATCTCCCAGCACACTACAGCCTCATAAACACCTGTGCCCTCAAGTCCCAGCCCAGGGCCTCATACGGGGTGGGGGGGGGTCACATCCCAGGCCCTGTTGCACCCTCCTTCCACTTTCAGACACCCCGACAATGGAAATCACACAGATGTGCTGGCGACTCCCTGGAGTCTCTAAAAGGAAGAAAATCTACCAGGACTCCTACACGACATGATGATACCTTGATATCAACGTGGGCACCCCCACCCCACCACCTACACCCCCACGGAGGACCCTACCAAAGGGCCATGACTCATGAACAAAGCAACTGTCCAGACCCAGGGGGCACCTGTGCCCAGCTCTGGTGGCCTGCCCTGCTGGGGGAGCCCACTCTGAGGGCAGAAGGAGGGGCACCGGGGAGGCAGCTGGAGTGAGGACAGCTGAGGACAGGGCTGGGGGAATCCAGAGGCTCATGGCGAGGAGATCAGAGATCCCGTCATGGGAGGAAGGAGGAGGAAGGAGGCCTCTGCCAAGGGCGGGAAGGGGAGAAAAGCGGAGCCTGGGGAAAGTGGAGTCCAGGAAAAGGACAGAAGACAGTGATGGGGGAAAGAAGAACGTGAGGCAGCCGAGAGAAAGGGAGACAGGAAGAGAGCAACAGAAGGAGAAATGTGATGCCCTGGGAACCAGGCCAAAAGGAAGGGAGAGAGGAAAGAGCCAGGAAGGGAGGAACAGCTGAAATCAGGAGCTGCACGAAGGAGGCCCAGTGCGCAGGCCTCTGCTGCCCCCTGCTGGCCGCTCCCCACACAGCTGTGCAAGCACCACGCAAGTTCACCTGCTCTTCTGGGTTCTGGAAGGGGATCACCAGCACCACGTCCCCTGCCTTGAGCTGCAGCTCATCAGTGTCCGTGGCTGTGTAGTCATGCTGGGCCTGCACCTGCAAAGGTTGAGAGCTCGACACCCCTTCCTCTGACGCCCTGGGCTACCCTGGGCTTTAGGTCCGGGGTGGCTTTGGCGACCCAGGAAAGCCGCGAGACTCAGGCCTCACAGGCTGGGTGGTCGGGAGCACAGGGATAGGACTCTGGAAAACCACATAGCCTCCTGCTCAATGTCATGCTTGTGCAAACAGTAACTGCACCCGGGGGGGCCCTACCAGAAGGTGGAAGTCCCCAGTTGAGGGATCAGCTAGCCTGAGCTCACCTTGAACATGAACCCCGGGGGCAGGTCCAAGCGCCCAGCCCCGCTGCCACCCTCCACGGTGCCGTTCACAGTTGCTGAGAAGGTCTCCACCACCACAGCAGGAAGGGAGCTCTGGGGGAGGGAGCACAAGTCAGTGCAGGCAGGGAGGGGGTACCAGAGGGCAGGGGTGACCAGGCAGGGGAAGAGGGTTCTGTGCCCAAAGCCAGAACGGCCTGCCTCTGGGTTCGCCGACGGGAACTGCGACCTGGGCCAGCAAGGAGCAAGGTGCATGGGCAAGACACAGGGCCAGGGGGCCGTGGGCGGGCAGCAGACCAACAGACAGCAGGGAAGAGAAGACAGGGCTGTGGTCCTGTCGCCTTACGGAAGCTGCTTCACTGGCTGCCGTCTCCCCGGGCTCCTGGGCTCTGGCCGCAGGTTGGGTCCCACCCGCTACTTCCGAGGCCTCTGTTGGCTGCAACATAAATGCCGGCAAGGGGTCAGGCACAGGCTGGACAACTCGATGGGACAAGAGAAAGGACCATGTGGAGCAGCACCCCAAGTGGTGTCTGGAGCAGACCAGTGCCGCCACTCAGCACAGGGAGCCGGGGGGAAGGCTGGGTCCTGGGCTCCGGAAGCAGCTGCAGGAGGTGCTGGTAGGCACGAGAATGCTGAATGACTTGCTGTGGAGAAGACAGGCACAGAGCCCTGGATGCCACCCTGACTCGCCCTCACATACCTTGCCCGCCAAGCCCAAGACCTGGCCAAACCTCAGCTTTCCCACCCTCCCCTGATCCGATCCACCCAGTCCCTCCGGAGCCCCACGCTCGGCACCAGAAGCACACTGTCCCTGCCTGAACACAACGCTAGGCTGGCCAGAGCAGCCCTTGCCAACGCTGGATGCCAGCTCCCCCAGAAGGGAGAGGCACAGCACCAGGCAACATGGTGGCAGGCACGGCCAGCAAGGCAAAGCGCACGATGCCAGGTCACAGTCCAGCTGACCGGGGCCAACCTGAGCCTCGGCCATTTCCGAGCTTTGGGAGCAATTACTCAACCTTCCTAGCTGCCTGCCCTCATCTGTCAGAGGAGGAAATATCTAGATTAGGGTGGATATCAAATAGAAAATTCCAGAAAGTGTCTACCGTAAGCCGCTGAGTGCTCTAAATGCTCATCCCTCCCTCTGTAGAGACTGAACCGGGAGGCTGGAGCGGGGCTGGTGAGCGAAGGGCACATGTGACCTCAGCCCCTCCCCCCAGCACAAATGACATGCCTCTCACTGGGGCTCATGCCCGTCTCACCCTCGGGCCCATGGTGGCCTTATCTATCAGTGCCCTCTCCTCTGAGCTCTGCATGCTACACCCCCAGAGGCCAAGGACAGATGGGGGCGCTGTGGGCAGGCACTTACTTGGGCAGGACCTGGCTCGGCCGTCTGGCTGGGCCAGGCCACCGCAAAGGTGCCCTCGGCAGCGCTGGGCTCCCTGGAAGGCAGGCTGCCAGCTGGACTCTCTGTGGACTAGTGAAGGGCCACCGGGAGAGCAGGGCAGGAGGGGCAGGGCCAGGGAGGAGGTGTCAGGTGGGGACACGAGACAAGAGAAGACAGTCGTGAGCCCAGTATTGGCAGGGGGGCAGCGTGGTGAAAGTGGGCAGTCTGGCTGATGGGGGACATCAGAGAACCCCTGGAAGGAGGTCCACTCCCATGACCTTGTTCTTACCACTGCCAGGGGCAGCAGGTGCAAATACAATGCACACAGCTCAGCACCCACCAAAACCTTGCCAAATGCCTCTGCACACCCTCACCTGGCTTTCTTTGGAGTCCTCTGAAGATAATGACACTAGGCACCCCCACGAGAGAGCACCTGGCCTCACCTGCCCTTCCTGTCCCTTGAGTCATCCCTTCCTCCCCCTCTGTCCCAACAGGTCCCTGATGCCACTGCCCAACGGTGCCCCACTGACAGGAAGGTCCTCAAGCGTTGAGACTCTCCACCCCAAGAGACCCCCAGCACACAGGCCCCAACAAGCACAAGGACACCCCCTCCATCTGGGTGACCAGCTAACGGCTATCCAGGGTGCCTCAGGGGGCTGCCTACTGCACACGGATGGCCCTCTCCGCAGGCTACACTGTGGAGCCTTGTGCTTGGGGCTGGCACCGGACACAGCCTATCCACAGAGGGGTCAGCAGCCAGACAGCTCCCAGCGATCCAGGCCCAGACCCACGTGTGTGAGGGCACCTGTGACCGGGGCAGGCACAGGTGGAGGAGCTGGCACTGTACCAGAGCAGCTCCCCAGGGCGGGGGTGGGTGCAGAGCAAGCACGGCTTACCTCCCAGAGGTCCCACGGAATTGGCTGAGCGCAGCAGTAGGGGAGAAGCACAGAGGTTAGAGATGGGTGTGCGGGTAAGAAGTTCCAGGGACCCCCACCCACCAACTGTCCAGCAGGCACAGGGAGGCGTGCAGTTGGACTCGGAGATCTCCAGAGGGGCGCGTCCTTGACCTCCCAGGGGCTATGACCCCAGGCCGAGGGGTGCCCACGCACAGGGCCGCTGCAGGACAGAGGCAGTGTGTGAGCCAGGCCAAGTGCTCAGCGGCCTCTCCACCTGAGGGTCTCTGGCTGGCCTGTGTCTGGAGCTGAGGAGGCAAGAGCCGCGGCCAGGGCACCAGGGAGAGCATCTGGTGACCCCAGGACCCTCGGGCCTGGTCTAGCGGCTGGTGGGTGGCAGTGGACTCAGACCAACCTGACCAGCGGGCGTGGGTGCCTTCACGGGGCTCGCCACAGGTGGGAGGGGGTCAAGGTCCAGGTCCAGCAGACTAGCCTGCTCCGAGAAAGGCCCCGGGGCCTCGAACTTGGCAGCAGCAGCAGAGGAGGAAGGCAGTTAGTGATAAGCTGGGAACATCTGACAACGGCACTCAGATACATCCAGCACACAGACACTCACACTCACACACACGGGCACTGCCCTGGCACAGGCTCCATCCACACCGGATGATCCTGGCATCCACCTCAGAATCAACAATAGGCTGCCAGGACAGCCACCCGCCAGACCAATACCCAGCCCCCAATCCCACCACCTGTCTCCCTCCTGCAGGCCAGCAGAGGCCTCCCAGTGCCCACATCACTTCTCTCCCATCCCACGAACTCCCCAACCTTGCCCTTTGCCCCAGAAGATCACAGGCTACAGCCTGATGGACTAGACCAGCTCACCTGCCCTGTCTGGTAGGGCCCTAGGCTGAGCACTGACCTCCCTTCACTGCCCCACAGACAGATCACACATGGTGCCATGCAAACACCAGCAGCTCCAGGAGCAGGGCTGAGGCTGAGCTAGCACACTCTACCTGGAAGTCCGGTCTTCAACACTGAGTCCCAACATGTCCACATCTGTTTGCAAACTGCAGGCCCCACCCCAGCCACCCCCCGAGTCCCAGGGGGTCTGGGTGCAGCCCAGGAATGTACAAGGAATAGCACGGTGCCGGAAGACTAGGGCACAGGCCCATGCCCGTCCTATGGAGAGCTGAGTCAGATAACCAGGGGGGAAAAGGGTCTCCCCCTCAAGGAGGATGGCCGGCCTGGCCACAGTGCCCAGAGGACACGCTGCCTCCCTGGGAGGACTTGCCTCCATCTTGGACCACATTTTCCCCTTGGGGGCCAGAGAGGACTTTGCCCAAATAGAGAGAAGGATCTGGCTGGCTCCCAGGTGGGGCTGGAGGTGCCCTTCGTTGAGGAGGACGAGAGAGCTGAAAGCATGGTGCAGGCGTGCCCAGAAGGGCCTTCTGGGGAGGCGTAGCCTGTCTGAAGCTAGCCAGGACTCTCGGTCCTAAGAACACTGGGTGCCAGCTGTCCCGCAGCTTAGGTGACAAGGCACAGGGTCCAGAGAGTCCAGGCCAAGTGGACACACTTCCTGAACAGGGGGCGTGTCCCCAGACTCACTCCCAGACACTGACTTCCAGACTGAGCCAAGTCCGATGAGCCTGGGGAGGGAGGCCACTGTTCTGTCCCCACCACGGTGCCATCTCTAAGGAACGAATGCCCAGGGCACCGTGGGTACATGAGCTCTAGGTGCCCTCCCACACCGGCGGGCAGCATCCCCCAAGAGCCCCACGACCCCACCCCTTCTCACAAGTCATCATCATAGACCAGACAGTGCCCCCCCATTCCCAGGGCCTAGGGCCACCAGGCAGAAGGGCAGACATGTCCCCTTGACCCCCCTCCTGGCAGACCAGCCTCCCCCCATGCACAGCTGTCCTTGGCACCAGGATGCAGGCCACTCACCATGGTCCACTTGAGCAGCCCCGTTAGCACAGCAACATGGACAGGGACCAGCCTACCCAGGCCCTGGCAACAGCAGCCACAGTGTGCATGTCCTGCCCCCGCTGGGTAGAGACCCTGCTCCCTGGGGTGGCAGAGGGGGAGCTGGAAGGCATGCTGTGAGCTGGGAGGGACACACTCCTGCAGACAGGCTGCCTGCACTTTAGGCCCACAGGTTCCCCATTTGTCAAATGGGGACAACACCCCCTCTCGGGAGGTGGTTGAAACCAAACAAGTGGGCCAGGCAGGGGAGAACAAGGGCCTGCGGGTAAGGGCTGGCACACCACTGTGATTGCTAGCGGTGTCGGCTCCGGGCCTGCATGCTGAGCATCCCAGCAGCTACTTGGAGGCCTGCTTCCTATTTCCAGGTGGCTCCAAGAGCACCCTGGGGCCAGCCTGGCCACCTTCCCAGTGGCTCCCAAGACTCCTGGACCCTGAGTCAGGGCCTCGCCCACCTGGCCTCCCTACACTGAAAGTATCTAATCCCCCCAGCAACTTGAAACCCACTCACCCATATACCCCTTTCAGCACTGATCACTACTCCAGCTGCCTCTCCCTCCATACCCGCCCCTCCAGCCGGCCCTCCCCTCCGGCCTCTGACCCTTTGCAAAGCAGCCTGCAAGAGGCACAGCCCTGAGGGCCCGGCCTGGCAGCAGCCTATGCTCAGCCACCCCCACACAAGGTGAGGCCCCTTGTGGAAGAGGCTCTGGCTTAAGGTATGGAGACCAGGTTTAGAGCGATTTGTGTTCTGTGACCTTTGTCAGCTGACTTCACATTGTGCCAGCCCCCTCCAGTGCCACCAAAGTAACCTTTTGTGCCAGCCCCACCCCTTTGTCCATCTGCAAATGGACATTTCATGCTATCTTAGTGCATTTATGAGCAGGGCATTTAGGAGCAGGCATTTCTTAGGGCACAAACCCTTTGCAACTCATATTGATACTCTGCAGTTCAGCCACTGCCCCACCTCCAAGTGGCTATTGGCAGCTCTGGGAGCTAACATCTAGGTGCTTCTGGCAGACATTCTAGAATCTTCCCAACTACGCTCTTGCTGCCTCCCCTCACTGCCTCTGGTTAAAGCACTGTCTTCCCCAGACACCTGGTAAACATCACCTCCTTCAGAAGCCTCCCCTGACAGGCCAAGTTCTCCATGCTCCCTGTTGGCCACAGTATGACAGGAACCTTGAAGACCCCGGCGAGTGAGGACTGTTCACCCGTGTCCTGCATCTGGCTATGGGACATGCTCAGAGGCGGATGAAGAATGGCGGATGGGGGAATGGATGGACGAGCAAGAGGGAAGCTCAGGGTCAGTCTCGCCAGCCAGATTCCTGATTCTTGAGGCAAGGCACAGGGCGTGGGATGGAGGGAGAAGGCCATGCACGCCCGAGAGAGCTGGGCCGCGGCGGCCGCGGCTGACCTGGGAGGGGGTGGTCACGCTGATCTCGGGGACAAACGTGTCATCAAACAGGCTGAGGATCTGCTCCTGCTTGACCTCCTTGGACGGGGTGTGTTTGGGAGGCGGAGGGACTGGTGGGCCTTTCCGGAGCTGTGGGTCGGCGGCGGGTGAGGGGACCGCACAGGGAGGCACGGCAGAGCGTGGGGGTCGGGGGAGACAGACAGAGACAAAGCCACGTTAGTCACACCCAGGCAACCAAGGAGCACGAAGCCACAAAAGCTGCTGTTTCCCAAGACAGAGAGCGGAACCGCAGGGATACCCCAGAAGGAAGGTCAAGGAGCAGAGAGGAAAGGAGGGGAAGTGGAAGAAGGGGGAACAGGAGAGGCCTGCCAGGCGCCAGGCCGCTGGAGGGGGTGCTTGGCTCGCACCCCGCCGCGAGAAGACTAAGAGAGAATAGGATGCAAGAAGCACCCTGTGCCCAAAGCCTCTGCTCTGCAGGACCCGCCCCCGCCCACCCCCGTGGAGCAGCTCAGCTCAGCCTGTCACCCGTGGGGACCCGTGGAGAGAGCCTGGAAGAGGCCACACGTCCACCCACTTGGGGGAACTCGAGCAAGACCCCCCCCAGCATGGGTGCCCTCATTTGTCAAATTGGGATGATAACACCACCTTCCTCCAGGACAGCGTGAGGATTCCGTGAATGGCCGCATGGAAAGCGCTGGCACAGGGCCAGCCTAGGTAAGAGGCCCGAGTGTGGGCTCTCCAGGCGCGTAAGGCCGTCCCTGCAGCTGTCGGAGGGCCGTGGCCTGAAACCAGAAGCTGCCAGGAAGGGCCGAGACCAAGTGTGCGAGGGCTCACCAAGCGCCTCTGGCTACCCCTTTAAAGGTCCTGCACGGCCTAGGCTGGAAAGAGAGGCGAGACGAGCGGAAGGCAGGCAGCTTGCAGCCTGGAAGCTCCGCGCACCCGGAGCCTATGTCCTGGGAGGCAGGAGACGGAGAAAGTCAAAAAGCCCACGCACCAGGGAGACAGAGCAGGAGAGGGTGCAGCGAGGGTGGCAGGAGACGCACAGTCACAGATGCCCCAGAAAGGACCAAGGGCTGAGGAGGGGAGCCTGGGGCAGTGGGTGAGGGAGACTGGGGTCCAGGTCCAGCTCATCCAGCCCTGCTGGGCAAAGCCTCCGGCTCCAAACCTGCCCAGGCCCAGGCCCAGGCCCCAGCAGAGGACAAGAGAACAGGAGGGGGGAGAACAGCAGAGCACGAGCAAGAGGAAGGAGGGGAGAGGCCAGTGCATACCTGAGAAGGGGACTTGGTGAGGGACGCGCCGGGCGTGGTGGGGGGCTCGGGCTCGTGGTTGACTCTGATCTCAGGGGTGGCAGCAGGGGAGCCATCTGGTGGAGGAGAAGGGCTGTTTCCTTTTGCAGGGGTGTTGTCACTGTGGAGGCAAGACAAGAGAAGGCGGCAGGTGGAGGGAGGTCACGGTTTAGGTAGAGAAGGTGCCAATGCACAGGCATGCATGTGAAGGGGTGTGAGTGTGAAGGAGTGAAGGTGTGTGTGTGTGAAGAGGTATGTGAGTGTGTGAAGGAATGTGTGTGTGTGAGAAGGGGTGTGTGTGAAGGGGTGCAAGGGCTGAAAGAGATGTGTGTGAAGGATGAAGTGGTGGGAGTGTGTAAAGGGGTGTGTGAAGAAAAAAAGGTGTGCGTGTGTAAGGGGTGTGTGTGAAGGGGACATATATGTGAAGGGATGTAAATGTGTGAAGGAGGTGTAAGTATGGGAAGGAGGTGTGTGTGTGAGAAGGGGTGTGCGTTTGTGTGTGAAGGAGTGTGTGAAGAGTGTGCACACAGGTGCCCTGGGGCCCATGGACACATATGCATAGGAGTGTGCACCCATGTGGATCAATGTGTGAAACTGCAAGTGTATGTATGTGTCCACACAGGTTCAATGTGAAAAAGTGACCACCTTGTGTGTATAAGTGTGTGTCCGTGTGTCCACGTGTGACCCTGCATATACTCATACGTGAGATGGGCAGAAATGGAGGGACAGGGCAGGGAGCGCTCACGGACACAGTGGAAGCACGACACAGCACTCCCGCTGGAGAGCTGCAGCTCCCAGGAGAAAGACGCAGGTCCCCAGCAGGCCTGTGGCGCTCGCACCGTGGCTTGGGAGGAGCCAGACTCACAGCACGAAGAAGCCAAACATCCTAGAGGCGAAGTAAGTCTCACCCCAATGTCACACAGCAGGAGGGTCCTAGACTCTAGACCCCAAAGAACTCCCTGGCTGACCTTGCTGCCTGTCACCCAGTCACGCCGGAAGGCCAACCACAGCCCCGCTCGAGGGCCCACACTCCCTGCGCACACCACATGCACAGACAAGCCACTTTTGCTCCCACACGCCCCTCAGATTCCCTAAGCAGAGACCATGGGCAGGCTGGTGAACATGGGCAGCGGCTTCCCGGTGGAGCGGCACTGAGGACAGATGATGTTTCCGGGCTACAAAGGGCAGGACCAAGAACAAGGGCAAAGGGTGTGCAGAATCTGCCACTTGGGTGCAAAAACGAAGGTATTTCCTTGCATTGAAAATACATCCTTGCATTGAAAATGTCTATGCTTACATGAAGAGCTGGGCTAGAACAGGGCTGACCAAGACCATTTAAACTTAGGGTCAAACTAAATAAAATGGGGTCTCCCTAGTGGCTCAGGGGTTAGTTAAAGTCTCAGCACTATGAAGCTATCACCAGACACTGAGCCATGAGTTCGATTCCCGGCCAGGGAGGTAACCCACATGGTGCAGCAGATCTCTCCTGCCTCACCCGCTGCTCCCTTCAGCAGTGCATTTCAGTCAATCTGCCTGTTCTGCTCCCCACTCTGTCTCTGGTGAATCCTCTCACCCCCCACACCTCTGGCCTACACCCCAGTTCTTGGATGCATAAATAAGTAAAAATCTTTAAAAAAAAAACTAAATAAATAAAATGTAAAATTTGGCTCCTTAGTCACAGTGGCCACATCTGGAGGTGAGCAGCTAAGGTGTTGGACTGAGTAGAGCCTACCAGCCACGTCACCCAGGGCCTTCAGGAGGACATGAGACACAGCACTGGGACCTCATCTTTCTCGGATCTGTGTTTTATGGAACGTGTGTGTCCTGCAGGAGTCCACCTAAATACGGCACACATGACTCTAAAGTACCAGCCTCGTGCACAGCGATCCTTCCAAGGCCTTCCCACATGGACACGCAGTAGGCACGAGACAGTGTGCAGAGAACTGTGCTAACCTGAGTCCTGGCTATCTGCCCCGCCCCCCAGCAACCCCTGTCCCCCAACACACACACACACACACACACACACACACACGACAGTGCCACCCCAGCCACCCCATAGCCCTGTCCACCGGTGGCCCTGCCCAGGCGGCACCATACTCTGGAAGGCAGGTTAGAGGTTAGTGGAGCCCTGGGAGCAGGGCGCTGGGCGCATGCACGGGCAGCCCAGGGTGCTGGCCCTGGAGCCCCACCACGCAGCACACACTGCTGGTACCTGGTCTTCTTTCTGCGCAGCCGGGAGAACAGTTTAGTTTTCTTTCTGTGAGGATGGACGGGATGTGGAGGCCTTCATTTTGGCCTGTTGTCTCCCCTCAGCAGCAACCCCTCTGATCAGAGGAGGGCAAAGGGACAGAGCTGCCCTACCCCCATCACCCTCAGCGTGCTGGGGCTGAGAAAATGAGCAGAAGAGGAGCCGCCCAGAAACGGGGCCTGGAGGTGGCAGGACACTGGCTGGGAGACCATGGCATCACCCCACATGTGGACCAGCCCAGAGGCTCTGAGTCCCAATGCCTAGAAGGAGTGGGGGTCTGCCGGCACAGGTGGGGCCCTGGGAGAGGAAGCAGCCAGACCACAAAATGGGCTACTGTGATGAAAAGGAGGCTCACAGCCTCCACTTTCTTGCCTCTCCCTGCAGACCAGTCCCTTTCCCATGGGAACCTGTGCTCACCATGCCCACCACCTCCACACACTTCCCGGAGAAGCAGTTACCTCCAGGCCAGAAGGTGCAGCAAGGGGAGGACATTCCTCCCTGCAGGAAGTTAACTTCCGGTCTTTCTTCTACCCCCATCCCGGCCCCAACCCCCAGGGCATCCTGTGGGGATCCCTCTGTCAGTCACATTTATTTTATTTTTAGATAGACAAAAGGCAAACCATTCTTTACCTGCCTTCTTAGCCCTAGGTAATACCCCAATTACCCCAAGAAGCAAATAGAATCGCTTCTTTTACAGGCCAGGAAAGCCAGGTACACAGCATTCCCACCCTGTCCTGTGACACGGGCACACATGGCTGGAAAGCAGGGAGCCCCCAGGCTTGCAACTGCTCCCTGTGCGCTACAGCTAAAGAAGCAGATATTTCCCCTAGTCCCCCCAGGTTATCCACAGGAAACAGGGGTCTCCTAGGTGGCACAGAAGGTGGGGCAGAAGAATGTGGCTGCCTCTGCAGGATGCACACGCCATCCAGGGAGGGGCTGCCACAGGAGTAGCAGAGGAAAACAATGGTGCTCCCCTCCTGCGGGAAGAAGGCAGATCACTGTCCAGAGCTGTAAGAGGACAGCTCACTTTCCAGGCCTTCCCCAAAGCCATGAAGGTACCAGATTGTTCCTTCTCCACAGATGATAAGCCGTGCCAAGCTCAAGAGACCTGCAGACTGCCCAGAGAGAGCTCGTTCCTCAATGGAACACACTGGAGGGGTGGGGGTACCTTCCCCTGCACCAAGAGTTCAGGAAGACCAAATCCACAGAGGACCATAGCAGTGAGCCTTGGTGCAGCCCTGCATGAGCCAGCGAGCACCAGGCACTCACCCAGACCACCCCTCCCTCCCACACCACCCCTGCGAGGGTAGGGCAAGGCACACACCTGGGTTGGGCCTTGACCGTGAAGGTGTTGCTCCCGTGCTGCTTCTCCAAGCTGACCAGCACGTCGTTGAGGTTCTGGTTGAGCTGCAGGAGGAACAGCAAAGAGATGGAGACCTCCGAGGCCACCAAATAACCCCAATCTCCCCCAATCACTTCCTTGCTTCTCCTCCTACTCCAGTCGCTTTCCTGTACCCCTACCCTGCCCCCTGCTCCATGACCAAGCTCTTCACTCCCCAGCACACCAAACCCGGAAAAAAGGAGGAAGAATGTTGCTTTGCTAACAGTTACTCTTTTTTTTGGTACAGTCAGAAGCACGGGAGGGTGAGAGAATTCACCAGAGCCAGAGCGGGGAGCAGAACAGGCAGACTGATGAAATACACTGCTAGAGGGGAGCAGCGGGTGGCAGGAGAGGTCTGCGCGCCATGCGGGACCCTCCTCTGGTGGCCAGGGAGCAGCCGGGGATCGAACCGGCGGTGCAGAGGCTGCGGGCAGCTTCACAACCCAGCGCTCAACTGCTGCGCCACCGGGGACGCCCCTAACAGTTACTCTTTTGAGGACAGTTTTCTTTCAACTTGTAGAGATTTTCTAAAATGCCATATAAAACTTATACTTCTTTAAAAAAAAATTTAATTGCTTTTGCAAATTAATTGTTGGTCCTAATTGTTAAAGTCATTTTGCCAAGATGCTTTACAACTGGCGCAAATTTCACCAAAGAATAGACACAAGAGAGGTTTATCCCACGCACATAGTGACTCTCCTTACTGAGAATATTTTCCTCTTTGCTTTGGCCACTGGGAAGCTCAGGGTGGAATTTTCCTCCCACTTTAATAAATGTTTCCTTCCTCAAAACACCTGCTTGTTTTATAAATGTTTCGTGCATTATCTCAAATCTTGGAAGAGAAGGAAAAACAGGAAGGAAAGGGGAGGCCTACAAGGCAGGAACTGCACTCAGGGTGGTGACTCAGAAGAGGCCCCACGCTGGCTTTTCCCCAGCCTGCCCTGGTGGGCCTGGAATCCACTGCACCACTTTGTCCCACTGGGCTCGGGTGACAGTCAGACGCTGCAGCCACTGTGAGGAGGGAGGACCGCCCACACCAGGTTTCTCAAATTCAGTTTAACTTCCAGTAATCAGTGCAGATCAACTCCCAATAATCAGACCCCTTCTCACATCTGACTGGCGGATATAGCTGACCTGCTTCAATGTCTTAAAACATAATGAGAGGGGCCTCCCCTGGCGGCGCAGCGGTTGAGCGCTGGGCTGCGAGGCTTCCTGCAGCCTCTGCAGCGCCGGTCCGATCCCCGGCCACCGGCGAGGGTAGGGTCCCAAAAAAAATAAAAACCCATAATGAGAGAAAAATTCAAAATCAAGATAATTCTAACAATTTGTCATTTGCCTAAACTTGGAAAGCACCACCATTTCCTGACACTGCTCCCTCAGCCCAGGCTGAGAACCCTGTACAGTTTGAGGGGTGCTCGCTCTGTTCAGATTAGGAGAGTAAGACTAGGAGAGGGAGAGGGTGAGCTGGACTTGGGAGCCCACTCACAGCCTCCCCGGGCATCAGCAGCAGCCCAAACACTCTGGAGGCAGAGCTCCTTGAGGACAAGGGCCAGCCAGCTCCTCCCGGGGTCCAAAAGGGGTGCTATAGTCATTGATGTGTGCTGAACCCCAGCAGGGACAAGGAAGCTCGGCCACCCCCTCTGTGCTTCTGACCCAGGCCCTTGGCAGGGCTGAGCACATCCCCAGAGGCCTAGGTCCACAGGTCAGCAGTGCCTACCTTACTCATCTCCTTGTGGAAGTTTTCCTCCAGACCCGCGATGCTCTGAAAGGTATTGACATAGAAACCTACACGACTGTGGGGGGTGGGGAGGGGAGGCAAGAAAAAGGACAAGTGAGCATAAAGGTCAGCCCAGGGAAGCCACACACATGCTGGCACACCTCCACCCTCATCAGAGAGGGCCCAGGACACCGCAGGTAGACACTGGGACACAGCCCCGCCTCCTCCTGGCCCTCACCTGTTCCACAGGGACGGCAGCTCCTCCTGCAGATCCACATTCATCTCCTCAAAGACCTTCTGGGCCTTGATGAGCTCTTCCTCGGCCTGAGGAGCAGGACCCGTCATTCCCCTCTGCTGGGCCTCTGTCCCAGCCCGCCCAGGCCAGGCCAGGCCCACCCCCAAGACCTGCTCCTCCCGAGCGCCCACCAATGCACTGGACCCAGGGCTCTGGGCAAGATGGGGGCTAAACTGGATGCGGATGTCTGGACGGACATCCCCGTTAAGGCCCTAGGGTCCCTGCAGCCAGGCCTACGGGACAGCTCAGGAAGAGCAGGGCAGAGCCACAGCAAAATGCAGGGCCCCCATCTGGCCCTACGGTGGGCAAGGGATAAGTACGGAACAACTGGAGGTGGCGGCTGGGGCAAAGTGGGTACAGAGGCAGACCCCAGAGCTAGCCAGGGGGGACCGATCCATTTCATGAAGTGCTAGCCTGCTGCCCGGCTCTCTGGGGTCCTGCCCAAGTGCGCTCCCGCCTTCTCAGGACAGCTCCCACTGGGCCTCAGCCACCAACCTGCACTTCACTTCCCTGGGAGTCTTTTCCTGCTTCCACCCTGGACGCCTCTCTCTCCTGTGACCTGTCCCCATTAGATAGAGGCCAGAGGCAGCAGGTTGGGGGAGAGGGCAGGGTCTGGGCAGGGTCTGCTGACAGAGTGCTGGGCCCACTCCCAGGGCCTTCCACCCATGCCTTCCCAGGGCAGAGCAGCAGGCGCTCCCAGCTCATACCCACCAGGCGGTGGCACCAAGGCCCCACGGCAGACCTGGGTTTGGGAGAAAGGGCAGCAGCACCCCCTGATGGTGGAGCACCAGGCCAGGATGGAGGTGAGTCACCACCCCCTGCAGAGAAGGGGCTCTGCTGGCTCCTTCTGGAGGGCGCTGCTGGAAATGGTGACTCAGAGGGTGATGGGATTCAGTCTGAGTCACAGCCCAGGAACGCAGCAGGCCCTGCCCAGAAGAAAGCTTCCCACCAGCAGCCTCACATTCTCAGGCCTCTCCAACCGGCTGGATCACCGAATTCCCACCAGGCATGTGATGTCCCCTGAGCCCACCCAGCTGTCCCTTCCAGCTTCAGGCCAGGAGCAGCCCATTGGCCCCTGGCCCCTTTATGCCCCAGCCCAGCCTGATGACCTGTGGCAGGACTGGAGGGGACGGAGGCCACCAATGCTCCCGACTACAATCGCATTGTTGGAACTTACTGAGAGTTCTTTTGCATAACTTTTAAAATGTCATCGAAACATTACAGGGAGAAGGGGGGAGGGGGGTACTATCTTTGTAAATATTCAGACCTTGGCCACTCTGGGAATGGCCAGATGTAGCGCGCCTCCAGGCCACGGGCTGGGTCATCCTGCCTTACTCCTCTGGGCACCCCACAAGGTCTTAAGGGCAGTGCGCAAAACCCACAAATGAGTGACTCCCACAAGGCGAGCTATAAGCACCTTGCACTGTTATACATTCCCTTGTCCACCACCATCCACAAGGCTGGCTCAAGTCCCACACCCCCTGGGAACCCACCCTACCCACCCCAGCCTCTGCACCCACAAAGACCACCTCTCAGTGAGGATTCAGCTGCAGCCATCATGCTGGTCTTAAGTCCCCAAGTGAAGCACGGTGACAGCTCAGCAGCTCGGCTATGTGCCACACCCTGTTCATACATCCCAGCAATGCTGCTCAGAGCAGGATGACTCCATTTTAGGACTCTTGGAAGTCAGGGCCTGTGTCTTTTTACCCTGTGGGTCCCATCCTCATATTCTGGCCCTCAGAATCACGTGGTGGCAGGGAGTGAGGAGTGAACTGTCCACTGTAAGAGCAATCACAGAGCCCCTGAGGTGCCACTGCATGCTGATGGATGCAGAAAGCAGACTGGAGGCCCATCTGCTCAGCCCACAGCAGCACCCCAGGGTCCTGCAGGGAGGGTTGAGAAACTGTGGCAAGGGTGAAGAGCAACTCAGGGACAAGTAAGAGAACAGGTTTAAGTGAGAGTGGTCTCAAAAGTTGGCCAAGGTCAAACCAGCTAGCAGGGCAGCCCCAGGGTAGCAGCTCACAGCCAGCCAGCTGCTCCTGGGAAACCCGAAGGCTCCTGGCCTCCCCCCAGGCATGAGGCAGGGTGGGGACAGAAGGTGGATGTGCTAAAATAAAAATTAGATCCAAATGGGAAAACCGATTTGGCCAAAAGGCAAAACACTCGCTGGCTAACATCCACAGATAGGAGCCCATGCCTCGGCCTCCACCGCCACGCCCCCAGAGTGGAGGTTTGGTGCCCTTCCAGCAGGATACCCAACCACATTCTCCCAGGAGCCCAAAAACAGCTGCATGGGCCTCCCCGGTGGCGCAGCAATTGAGCTCTGAGTTGCGAAGCTGCCCGCAGCCTCTGCAGCATCAGTTCGATTCCCGGCTGCTCCCCGGCCACCGGAGGAGGGTCCCACATGGCACGCGGACCTCTCCTGCCGCCCGCTGCTCCCCTCAGCAGTGTGCTTCGGTCCTTCTGCCTGCTCTGCTCTCCGCTCTGGCTCTGGTGAATTCTCTCACCCTCCCGTGCTTCTGACTGTACCCAGTGCTTGTATAAATAAATAAATAAATCTTTAAAAAAAAAAAAAAAAAAAAAAAAACAGCCGCAGGCACCACTCTAGGCCCCATTGTCCCCCAGGGACTTCCCCACCCCACTAAAAGGTTCGCCCAGTCTCCTGCTAAGCCCATCGCAAAAACAGCATGTAGAAATGCACATCACTGGCTCCATTCCCCCTGCAGTCGAAACCCTGAACTCTACAGGACAGACCCTTCCAGCCCCCGAGTTCCTCCTCTACTTCCCAAGGCTCCCCAGTCCATTTCCCCCAGACCAGGGTCACCCCAACCTCAGGGTGAGGCCGTCAGCAGCTGGGTGCTTCCAAAGTCAGCCCACAGCTTTGGCCTGAAAGAAATCAGGCCGCAGGTCAGGTAAAGAACTGGCCCACAGGCCCATGCAGAGCCCGGAGCTCTCCACATGGCAGGCATTTAATACATGTGTGTTGAAGATGATGAAATCAGGAGGCAGCCCAGGAAAAACGGGGCAGCTGCCCGGAGAGAAACCTAACCTCCTAGGTCCGGTCTCTGCAGACAGCCCCTCCCCAGAACCGTGAAGGGGTGCTGCAGTCGCATCACAGTCGTTTTACCGGAGAGCAGACCATGAGGCCACCTCTCCCAGTCCAGTGTACCCAACGCCCCTGAACCACCCATGCTCACCCAGCACCCTGCTCGTCCCAGGAGCAGGGACTAAGAGAAGTCAAGGTTTGCCAGGGTAGCAGGAATGTTTGAGAGTTTTGTACAAAGATCCTCCTCCAGCAAGTCCTCTGGGACCACCATGGACTAGACTGTTTGCTCTCCACGGAAATCCCAAAAAGTCAAGCCTCTAAGCAGGTCTCAGCAACCCAGCCAGACTGAAGAGCCCACCAGCATCCCCTCCAGGGGCATCGGGGGGGCCCACGGGTTCCAAGGGTCACCATGAGTCTGTGACAGGGACCCACCTACCCACCGGGAGCCCCGGGCAGGGGATAAGAACCCAGGGCTTGAGGCCATAGAGCGAGCCCCAGCTCAGTCACTAACAGGCTCTAGAAGTCCAGGCGGGAGAGTCTGCCTCTGTGCAAGTGTGTCTCCTTGGTAAACCGAGAAGGCACAGGCCAGGGCAGCAACCTAGGGACCGCACGTCCACCGCAGGAGCACAGGGCAGAATGGCTTCCCGACCTGTCTGAGTTCCCAGAGCACGAGGACAGTCTCCACGACCAGACCAGACCCCGCACTCGTGAGCCAGAGCCCCCAGCCCCTAGTCGCCACCTGCATTTGACCTCAGGTCTCCTCTCAAGTAGGACCATTTGAAAATAGCCCGGCTGCCAGATCCAGGAAAGGGGCCCAGCCCTCCCCCGCCCGCTGCAGCCCAGGGCAGTGCAGGGCAGCTGGGCAGACAGGATGACAGACCGAGAGGCGCCAGCACGTGCAAGGTTAGAAGCCAGTGTCACCTGATTTCGGAGCAGGTTAGTTTGAGCTACGAGATGAGCCTGCAGTTTGCCTTGGCACCACTGGGGGGCGGCTTTCTCAAGCAGCGAAACGGGCTGGGGATGGGGGGAGGTCAAGGCAAAGGAGAGAGGAGAGACAGGAGGGGGCGGGGAGAGAGAAACAGAGACACAGATATTAAACACCAAGTCCACACACCCAACACGCAGTGACAGACATGCTGGCCGCCCCTCCAGGAGGCCAGCCCCCTACAGCCGACAAAGGTCCCTTGAGGTTGAGAGAATAAGGGAAACCCCAAGCATGGGCAGAAAAGGGGTGAACTCCAACTGCAAAGCAAAATGTGAGAATCATTAGCAGGGCCAGAGGGCCTCGGCAAGCAGAGTCCTGTCCCGGTGAGGTGGGGAGAGGCTCCCCCCTCGGCCCCCGCCATATGCAGAAGAGGGCCAGTACCCGCCTCCCCTCCCCGGCCCCCAGACTTGTTCCAGCAGAGACAGGGCCACATATGATCCCGGATCCCGTGACGGAATTCCACTCAGTGTGTGCCAGGCGGGCGGGGCCCTTCCAGTGAAACCCAAGCCAGGCCTGTTTTCTTTCTGGAAAGTGGCTTCAGAGTGGAGCAGAGAGGCCCAGGGGCAGGGCAGGCACCGTCCAGGGGAGGAGGTGAGCCTTCACCTGCCCCTCACGGGGGCCTTTCACTCACCCACCCCTGGCCCAGCACCCCCCTCCAGTCAGGGGCCTGAGTCAGCCGCCCATTGATATTACGGGGTCGGGGGTCGGGGTCGTAGCCCAAACAGTGGAGCTGAGAGAAGCCAGAAGGCAAAGGGGTTGGTGAGCGCAGCACAGGACAGTCTTCCCAGTGGCCCCAAGCACAGGACAGTCTTCCCAGTGGCCCCAAGCCCCCGTGGCCCCCTGCTGCACCTCCCTGAAAACTTCCCCCAAACCCCTTCCAGCCCTTACCTTGGCAATTTTGGCTTCATCCTTCTTTTTGGCAGTTTGGAGGGACTCGAAATGGTGCCGTGCACTGTCATAGTCCACCAGCTTCCGTCCTCTCTTGGCGATGCGCGACTGGGGGACAGATGCAGGAGGGGGGCACTGAGCAGGGTCCACACCCCCGCTGAGAGGGTGCCTCAGACCCAGACCCCAGGCTCAACAAGTCCTTGGAACGCATGCTTGAGGCAGTGTTGCTCAAATCTCCTGGTGGCAGAGCTCACCTCTTCCAGGCAGTCTGCGCCCTTTCTTTCCAGAGGCCAAACCACTTCCTTGCTATCCCAGCCATCTGTCAGTGGCCACAGGCCAAACAGGCTGCTTCCCTGGCCTGGCCCTCAGCTCCTTAAAGACGTCTCCCGGGACCCCCGGGCTTCTCTCTCCAGGGCCCCTGAGGCCCCTAGGAACCTGAGGTCAGCCCAGCGGCCAGCATGGAGCACAACCCCTGGGGATCAGGTCTAGCATGACATTAGCCACCTGGTCACCTGCTTCCAATTGCCTGAGCACCCATTCTTCTCAGTGGAGACCACGCCAACTGACTTTTTGAACATACAAAGACAAACACACCCAGGTAAGAGGCAAAACACTCAACTCTGTGTGTGTAAATGTTTCTTTTCAGGTACACAGCCTAACACCAGGCACCTAGAGGCATACACATCCTCTTAACATACCTGATACAAGCGAACGAACATGCAGTAATTCCATGCGCAGTGACACGGACACACACACACACACACCCACCATGGGGTCTTTTTCTACAGCCTGGAGACCCAAAGGTATAGGGTTCAAAGCCCTCAGCTCAGAAAGGCACAGAGCAGGAGATGAGATGCCAGGGGAGGGGAGCTGGCCTTCAGAGCAGAGTCATGGCAATGTCTGAGCTGCCCCCCATTCCTCTCTAGCTCCCCCACACAGGCTTCCAGGCCAGAGCAAGCCAGGTGGAAAAAGACTGCTTCTCACCTTGATGTCAGGGAACTGGCCCAGGTACGTGTCCATGGTCAGCAGTGCCTGGTCCACCAGCTTCTGATGGTAATCCAGCCAGAGCAAGTCATTGTTCTGCAGGAGGCAAGAGCATGTGAGTGTGTCGTCAGGGAGCTGGGCCACCCCAACCCAGCTCTTGCCTCCTAGGCCCTGGGGGTTCCACCCCACCCCAATCACTTAGCGGCTCAGCAGCTTCTTAGAACCAGTTTCCTCATCTGTAAAATGGGGGTAACGATTCTGAAGCTATTGCCTCTCCCAGGGGACTGAGGGTCAGGATAAGCCAGGGTTGGGGTAGGGCATAGAGGGTGGCTTCCTGAGTTATGCAAGACACAGAGGTAAAGGGCCAGCCCAGGTTCTTTATCTCATCTCTGTATGAGGGCGAGGGTGTACCAGAGAACTGTGACCCTCACAGGAGGGTCATTTGCCCACAGGCACCCCACAGTGGAAAAGGAGAAAGGCTTGTTCCAGAGGCTAGGACAGGTGCGATGGGCCGGGCCACCTGGATGTGCTCACCTCTGCGATCTTGTTGGCTTCGTCCCTGCCCGGCCAGTCGGGCTCGTACACCTCCTGCAGACACTCATTCAGTTTCTTGGAGGCCTCGTGCATGGCTGCAGACAGAAAGACCACACTGCAGCCAGAGTCACAGGGTACCAGGGAAATGGGGGGGTCAAGCATGCTTGCCCCACCCCCAAAGGCCCAGGAGGTATGTGGGTCACAACTGAATCCTTGCCTCACCCCACTGACTCTGTGGCCTCTCACTCCCCAGTTCTGCTGCCATCACTGCACATCAGAATGGCCTTCGCTGTACCCCAGGAAGCCCGGCCCACCCCTTACCTTTGACGGAGGCCAGGTAGGTCCGGAGATCTTTCTGCAGCCGTGTGCCCTCTGTCTGCAAGAGACAGACAGGACACAATGAGGGTTGGCAGGCAGCCCATCCCTGACCCTCTCCTTCTTGCAGGCCCACATGGAAAGCGCCGTGATCAGCCATCTATTGCACCGGGAAGACTAGAGGACAGCGTGTGCGTGCTCCCAGGCCCGCCTGGCACTCAGCTCCTCTCTGGCCACCTACTGCATGACTGTTCTCAGCCCCATCCTGGCCTCTGCAGCCTGTGCCCAAAGGGACACCCACCCTGTGTTTGCCAGCCCCTGTGCCTTCCCAGCACTAGACTCAGCCCTGTAAGGAAGACATGAAGGGAGAGACCCGTCTGCCCTGGACAAGACAAACACTGGCTGGGGGCGGCAGTGAGCCCTGCACTTTGTTCTGAAAGCTTAGTTGGTGCATGAGACCAGCCCCTCCACTGCACTGTGAAAGGAGAGGCGGCCTGGAGCAAGCCTTTCACAGGGTCTGCAGGGCCCTGAGGGAGGACACCGAGGCTAGCCTGCTGGGAGACTCCTCTGAGAGGGGATGCTGCAGCGGGTGTGGAGAAGTTCGGGGTCATGGCAGGGCTCTCAGGACACAGGGCCAGCTGAGAGGGGATGTAGAGGATGTAGGAGGAAAAGACTGATGTGGGAGGAGCCAGTTACTGAAGCCCCTTAGCAGGAAAGAGAACCAGCCGAGGGTGGAGTCGCCTGGGTCACCTCAATTCCACAGGAGCAGGGGCAGGAAAGCTGAGCTCCAGGTGGATGGACAAGTGAGCAGGCTGAGGCCAGCAGGTGAAGTATGAGAATAGTGAACTGCTAAAGTTCCCAGAAGCTATTTGAAAAGGGGGAGAAAACACACACAGGCTTTGCAGCCACGAAGACCCAGCTCCATCCCTTACTAGCCACAGTTCCTGAAACTCTGAGCCTCAGTCCCCTCATCTGTCAGCTGGGCTGAATGACCCCTGACTACGAGCAGAGATGCCTGGAGCACTCACACAGCGCCAGCACCACACAGCGCTCAGGCATGGCTCAGCAAGCCAGGCTGGGCCTGGAGCCTCGCAGGCCGGCCTCTGGAGACGAGTGATGCTGAAGACCATAGGGGGAGCAGAGAAGGGACAGAAGAGCAGGTCCTCTGAGGGCCGTGGACGGAGGCACAAGAGGCTGGCCTCCTCGTGGAGGGATGTGCATCTGAACCCAGCAGCCAGTCACAGTCTCGGAGACCAGCCTGGCCAGCCTGGGGTTCCTGCAGGCAAAGGGGGTGCTCACCCCTGCCAAAAACAAGCAGAGATGTGGCCTTAGATGTGGCCTTACTTCCAGGCTCACCCCCAGCATCCTCAAACCTCTCCTGCTCCCTACCCCCAACAGGCCCTTGCTCCTAGGACCTGTCCTCCTCCCCTGTGTCCCCCAAGCACTGCACGCTGGGGCCAGCCCTTTCCATGCATGCCTTCTCGACACCCCCATCCCCACCTGACAAATGAGGAGGTTCGGTGTTACACAGAGTGGGGGTGAGCTGGCGAGAGCCTCCGAGGCCTAGGGCTCCAGCCACGGTTTGTTGAATGGGTCCCAAGAACACACATGACTGCCTGTTTATTATCATGCAGCTTCCATGCCACAGACATGGGCAGGGAGGGTGGTAGGCAGCAACTAAAATTTTGCACAATTTTAAAAAGGGGAGGCTAAAGAGGGGAAAACCTCATCTCCATGGAGTAGAGCATACAGTCCTGGCACCACATTATTCATATGAACTGTGAGGTCTGAGGCATGCTGAGTCAAGATCAAAGACGAGATAAAAGGCCAACCACAGCATGCAGCCATCCTTGGAATTCTGTCAGGGAATCAGACGGGACCCCTCTGGCCTCGGATATGAGGAAGGGTCACCCCACTCTTGATGCACCTCCCTAGTGTTAACAATGAAATGTTTTGTTGGGAGACATAAGGATAAAACTCTGATGTGATGCTATTGTATTCATCTGATGTCACTGAATCTTCCAGATACAGCTTCTCCTCCTGCCAAGCTTTCACCAGCTCACTCCCCTCCGTACCTCCAGGAGAGCCCAGGAAGGGACCTCCCTGGGGTGGGCTGCCTGCCCAGCTTCAGGCTGTACCAGGGCCCCTTGTGCTGCCTAACAAGGCCACGCTGTGAGCAGGCGTGCTGGGCACAGGCGTGCCAGGGGCTGCCCAGGGTCCTGCCTCCCGGCTGCAGCTGCAGCTGGGCCCCGAGGCCTCATGCCCCGTCAGCCCCAGGGTTGGACACAGCCCTCCCCCACCTGGGCCTCCTGCGGGGCAGCTGCAGGCCAGCCAACCAACACAGCATATGCATGTTCCATTCCAAACGGGCTCTCACGGCCCCCAAACAGGACATTTGAGAGACAGCTCTGGGGCTTCCTGGGGCTCCAACACACTCCTTACAGAGCAGCAGGCAAGGCTAAGGTCTAGAGCCATATCCCCTCGGTTTGCTCTCCAGGCTCCAGACTCAGAAATCGGGAAGAGCATCACAGCCCACAGTCAACACCTAGTACAGCTCATGAGGTGACTCAGTCGGTGCCCCATATCCCCATTGTATCTCCTTCCACAGGGTGTTCCCACCTCCTCTGACATCATCCCCCCCCTAGTGGCCCAAGCACCTAGCCCTGATCTTCCCCCGGGACTAGGGGCCAGGGACAGCCCCTCTGACGTGAACCCCACTATCGCCCCTCTGCAGTCAATGCCAGGGACTCTTTGCTTAGTAGGATGCCCACTGGGTGGGTCTCAGGGACAAGAGGGATTCAGACTGCCCCAACTCAGATGAACGAGCGAACAGCAATGATGAGCCCTGGGGTGCAAGGAGGCAGCCCTATGAGGGCACTCAGCCCACCAGGAGGACCCAGGGTGGCTTCCCAGAGGTCTGCGCTAGGTTTGCAGGTGGGCCTAGGGTTTTTCGGGCAGGGACACAGGGCGGGAGTGCTGTGATCAGAGCCGAGTGGGCCCAGAGGAGTCACGCAAACTGGGTGGTGACAGCAGGGTGACCTACACTCTGTCCCAGGGCCACTCCCACAGGAAGGGGGAGGAAATACCCTTTCTTGAACACCAAATTCCCTGCCCTTCTTGGCCCTGACTAGTGCTGGGCCTCTATGCTTGGTGTTCACAGACAGAGTGGATGAACCCTTAGCTTTCCAGCCTCCCCAAGACCAGTCTTCATTCTGCCTTTCCCAGGGTCCGCAAGCCTGGCAGGCTGGCCAGTGAGGCCAGCCCTGTGCAGCTCCCTGCTTCACTCCCTCAAAAAAGAGTGATTCTCGGGCCTCCCTGGTGATGCAAGGGGTTCAGTCTCAGCACTATAAAGCTATCCGCAGCCACTGCAGCATGATTTCCAGCCCCCCAGCAGACCTTTCCTGCTGCTCCCCTCAGCAGTGTATTTCAGAAGAGCCACCTGTTCTGCTCCCCACTCTGTCTCTGGTGAATCCTCTCAACCCCCACATCTCTGGCCTTGTATGCATAAATAAATAAAAATAAAATCTTAAAAAACAAGCGAGAGAGTGATTCTCACACCCTTCTAAACCCTGATGCCTATACTTAGGCCACAGTCAAATCCCTAACTGCCCAAGAGGATTACCCCAAGCCTCAAATGAATTATTAAATTTGCCAACTCCTGCTCCCACCCCAGGGCCGTAAAAAGGCAGCTGCCCCACCCAACCTGAGGGTGGACAGGGCCCCCACTCAAACGATCTCCATGTCCACTGGGCAGCCGCCAGCACTGGCTATCTTTAGCCCCGGACCAGTGAGTGACTCCTTGCCCAGAGCCAGGGCGCCAGAGAGGGTGACTTTGAGGGACAAATGGGGGGGTGGGGTGGGAGGGAATGCTCTGGCCACAGCTCTGGGGTCAGGCCTCAAAGAGCCTCTACTCCAGACCTACGCTTTCCTCACCTTCCACCGAACAGCCCAGCTGCCTTTGGGGTCATTCAGGCACTCCCACCCAAGGACTGCAGCTCTCCCCAGCCCAGTCAATGACCCCAGGGCTTGAGCTCAGCTCCAGAGAGGAAACCTCAGAGTGACAAATCTGGATAAAAACCCACAAGCTACCCCACGTCAGCAGTGCAGCCTTGACAGCTGCTTAACCTCAGAGGCCTCATCTGTACAATAAAGAGCAACACCCATCAAGGATGAAACGCTCCAGTCTGTGAAAGACACATGTTGCCTGGTCCACAGGAGATGCTCAAGGAGCTGAGACTCCTGAAAGAGGCAGCCTCCAACCTGAGGAAGCCATCTGAATAGGGAATCATGCCCCAGGGGCTCCTGGGACAGGGTCAGCAGAAGCAGACGCTTATGCAAGCATCCATTCTGCGGGTAAGAAAGCAGACCCAAGGGGCAGGGGCTTGTGCAGAGCAGACGCAGAAGACTCTTAACATGCGGCACCTTCCGGGATCTGCAAACCCCTCCACTTACTGGCCTGGGAGGCAGGCAGACATGGCTCCCGCTTCAGTCCCTTCATGCCTCTCAGCTGAGCTCCTCTGGAGGTGAGGCGGGACTTGGCCTGGGGCCATCTACCAGCATGTGCCCAGTCCCAGGGCCATGGGAGTTCCCAAAGCAGGTCCATCCCCCGAGCACCATTCCTGCTGTAGAGATGCTTGTGGCTGGGGCTTTCCGTGCTTTCCAAGGCCTCAGCCATGGAGAGGGAGAGGGAGGAAGAGGCCCGGCCTTCGCAGTCCCCCACCTGGAGCCCCCAACTTCTTTCCTAGCAGAGCGCAGACCCTGACCTCACTCCCACAACCATTCCTATGCCTTGTGGCCTCTTCAGGCCTCCATCCCCATCTGTGACTCACTGCGGCTGGCCTCAGAAGCCACAGTCATGGCCCAGCTCCCCCTCCTTCCTGCTACCTCGCCCTCCCCAGTGAGGGGAGAATCTCCAGGGACATTCCCCTTCTACCGCCCTCAGGCCCTCTCTACTGCCCTCGCACACAGCCAAGGAAGTGGCTGATTCCGGACGTAGCAGATTCGTGGGGCAACAATTCCAGGGAGAACACAGTCAGGATAGTCAGAGCCCTTCAGTCAGGAATTCCTCCCTGGCCTATAAAAATAAGGGTGTCCTTAGAATCACTTACAGTCTTTGGAACAAGGCGAGTATGAGTCTGAAACCACTTATGACACCGGATGGCCTTGAACATATTACCCAAGTTCTCTGAGGCCCAATTGCTTTGTTTGTAAAAGCGGAACGATGATACCAGCTGCCTATGGGTTGCTGGAAGGAGCCCACAAAGCAGCTACAGATGGCTCAGCCTGCAACCTGCCACACAGCCAGGCACAGAGGACCAGCGGGTGCCCACATCCAATCCAGACTGCTCGCGTGAAACCCTGCAGATGCCACTCTCCTCGAAAGAAGCTTCGGTAACTCCCACTTGCCTTAATATTCAAAGTCTGGCCAAAGTCTGTGCCTGCTCCCACCCAACCTCCACCCTAACACCGCCCCCCTCCATCCTACTCACCAAGGACCTAAGTCTACCCCTTTCCTCCTCTTTCCCAAGGCTCACACCCAGTGTCAGTGCTCCCTCCTCCAGGATGTCCTCTGTGACCTCAGCAGCCTGTGTAGATCCCCTCCTCCAAGCTCCCTGACTCCACAAATCCAGCTCTTGACATTTTCTACCCGGCAGCCACGTTTCCATTTTCACAAGCTCCCTGAGGCCAAGAGCACCCATACTCACCAGCTGCTTGTTGAAATTCTGGACACACTGTTCAAACTGCTCATCTTTTGTCTCATCCGCCTTTCCTAGTTTCTGGAGGACCTACGAGGCAGAGGGAGAAGGCACAAGTGTTATTTTAAGAAAGTGGCCAGCCCAGAGTGCCCAGTCAGAGTCTGGGGGACCCACGGCCAGAATCACAGGCCCCAGGCAAGGGGAGGATGCTGTGATTCCCAAGAGCAGGGCTGAGTCCTTGGGGTCATGAAGCCTCTCCACCCTTAACCAGGGCTCATCCTCGATCAGGAGGAGCTTAGGGCAGGCTTGCTGTACGGACCAAAACCAGGAGGAGGGGGGCATCAAAGACAGCCCACCACGCTGATCTCACACTGCACCCTGGGGGCTACACTCTGGTGGGAGAGAGTGGGCATGAGGGGCAGGTAAGGATGACTCCATTTCCTAGGCCCAGGTTAATGAATACCAGAGGGAGGAACAGTGCCGCGGGGGGGAGGTGCAGCAAAACAGGGCAGCCCCTGGACTGAGAAGTAACCACACACCCCCATAGCCCCACACGCCCATACCCCGACCCCTGCAGAATGGAGGGCATGGAGAGCTGCAGCGGAAGGGGGTCAGGCTGCTCATGTCACTGGGACTCAGCATCCAGGCTGACCCACTCAGCCACCTGCTCCCTCCTCCACGATCCAGCAGACGTGTGTGTTCTCGCGCACGCACACACACACATACACGCACGCACTCATGCTTGCAGTCAAGGCCCTACTCCCCACTGTTAATCTCAGAGGAGGACTCTCCTGTGGTGAGTCACAGCTGTTCCTCCTCAGCGTGTATGCTGGGGGATGGGGGTCGGAGAGCTGGAGAGGGGGGTGGGGTGGGGAAAGCCAGAGAGGGAGACCTAAAAAAAGGGAGCTGGAGCAGGAGGCTGAAAGGAAGCCCTGATCAGAGGAAGCCCCAAGCGTCTCCCAGATTTCTTCTCAGCTCCTGCTCCCTCGGATCCCAGAGTTTTCTTTTCTTTTTTCTTTCTTTAAAAATTTATTTATTTATTTATACAAGCACTGGGTACAGTAAGAAGCGCGGGAGAGTGAGAGAATTCACCAGAGCCAGAGCGGAGAGCAGAGCAGAACAGGCAGACTGACGAAGTACACTGCTGAGGGGAGCAGCGGGCAGCAGGAGAGGTCTGTCGCGCCATGTGGGACCCTTGCCGGCGGCCGGGCATTGAACCGGCACTGCAGAGGCTGCGGGCAGCTTTGCAGCCCAGTGCTCAACCGCTGCGCCACCGGGGAGGCCCACCCAGAGTTTTCTATGATTGGGAGGTGGGGAGACAAAATAGACAGCAAGGACGGGGGAGGGCAATGGAGGCAGAGCAGGGCAAAAGAGAAGGGAGACGGAGGGATGGCGAGGCAGAGATGGGGGTAGGCTCTGCGGGGACAGCAGGGAGTAGAGACCAAGATGGAGACAGACTCTTGCCAGCGGCCCTGGGCAGGCGCCTCCACTAGGGGCAAAAGGGCAAGTCCAAGACATTCAGCAGAGGCAGCGGCCAAAACCCAACAAGAATAAGGTGGACAAATGGTAAAGGGTAGAGGTGGCAGGTGGAGCCACAAAAAGGTGGGCCCAGGGCAAAGATGATTACCAGATGTGGCCCCAAGAGTCAGGGCTGCCCTGTAAGCAGGGGACCCAAGTCCTGCAGCCATCTGAGGCTCGTAGGTCCCCTCACACAGGTCCTCCCTTCAAAGACCCTGAAATGGGCCACACCACCAGGAAACCAGCTCTGCCACCCAGGACCCAAGCCACAGTCCTGGACCGAGGGATGTCCAGTTCCAGACTGGGCCCTCCCAGCCCTTCTCTGGCTGACCCAGGAGCCACGGCAAATGCAGTTAACGCTCAGCTTTTCTCATCACACAGTGCATTGGGTCCTTTCTCAGAAATCACTTGCTCTGTGCCAGCCCTGGACATCTCTGCAGAGGCAGCAAAGATGAATCAGACCTGGGCCCAGTGCAAGAGCAGAGGAAGTACAGTGGACTCTGGTCCCAGGGTGACGAGCCCATTCAATCAGGGCAATCAAGAAATACTTCCTGGGGGAAGTGGTAGCAGAAGGGCACGCTTACAGCAAAGAAGAGATGAGCGAGATGGGGTACATAAGCTGGGAATTTTGAATAGTTCAGGGCTACTAGAGGTCACAGAGGACCATCAGGGAGGGCGGGAGTGGCAGGAGGGCATTAGCAGTGGCCCACCAACAACTTTGTGTTACGAGAATCAGGACACACCTCATCAGACAAGTACGGCAGGAAACCACGGCTGACACTGAGGTGAAGGGAAAGAAGCAAAACAGAAACAGCATTAGCAAGAACATCCGCACTTTCCACAATCCACAGGCTCCCTCCATTTCCTTTGGAAGTCCTAGCCAGGTAGTCCTGTGGAAACGGGGTGCAGCTGGGGAGTGCCTGACCCACTCAGCACTGAGCTGGGGTAGGTGACTCTCCCCCCATCCTATGCCAGCCCCATAGTCCCACCACCTCCAAGGACAGAAATGAACCACCAGGTGGGAAAAACTTCCAGACATTTACAGGGGCCACCAGAATGAGCCGGAGGCTTCCAGCAAACAGGGTCAGGACCCATCAGCTCTTAAGGTAGAACCAGGGAGGTGGCCCTGTCCATACCCCACTGCCTCTCTGTCTCCCCGAGGAGACGCACTCCATGGGCGCCAGGCCCTGCCCTGCTGTAAGGACTCCAAGGCCCAAGGCCCATGAACTCACACACAGCCCACCTCCCAAATGTAGCTCTGCGCTTGGCCCAGACAGGGGAAGCCACCAGAGTGAGACCACACCAAGCAGAGACCCCGAAAAAAGGAACTCTTACTGACTGAGCATCAAGTGCCTTGTCTGGAAAATGAAGAAAGCATTAGCCCACCTTAAAACTTAACATTTGTCATTATCCCACCATAATGTTCATGTCTGTAAAACATGTGACTATATATGGCCCACAGAATGTAGTCAATTAACAGCAGCCCCATAAAAAAGCCTTCAGAGCAGCCTTCAAATAGTTGGGGCTCATGCTCACACAGACTAACTTTCACACCAGGTCACGATGGCATCCCAAGATGCTAGACCTAAGTTAGGTGCACATACACACTGTATGGACATGCACAGCATGTATGCACACAACAAACTCCTATTCATCCTGCAAAACCTTGCTCAGATGACACCACCTCTGTGAATCTGCCTTGTACTTTTCCTCCTACCTAATCACTCTATACCATTAAGGGGCTGGAACTTCCTCAGTGCTGTGCTATGAGCCCCAGTGTCTACTTTCAGCCCAACCGCATGAACTGCCTGAGGTGGGGGACAATGCCCAGCCCTCCTCAGTCGCCAGCATAGGCCAGGTATAGATATTCTTAGGGACCACTGGTACATCTGAGCTTTGGGCCTTGAGGGCCCAAGTCCTCTTAAACAAAATGGGAGGTTCATGGACAGAAAGTACCACGCCTGACCCATAGAAAGCTACCTGGAGAAGGGCCTCCCCTGGTTTTGCAACAGTTGAGCACTGGGCTGCAAAGCTGCCTGCAGCCTCGGCAGCGCCAGTTCCATCCCTGGCCCCCAGAGAGGGTCCCACATGGCGCGCAGACCTCTCCTGTCGCCCGCTGCTCCCCTCAGCAGTGTACTTCATCAGTCTGCCTGTTCTGCTCCCCACTCTGGCTATTGTGAATTCTCTCACCCTCCGGTGCTTCTGACTGTACCCAGTGCTTGTATAAATAAATAAATGTTTAAATTAAAAAAAAAAGCTACCTTGAGAAGCAGCCATTAAAATAAGGATTCAAATTGGCAGTCATGTTAATCTGAGCTCTGGTCTTGGGTAATCAGGCCCCTTCTGATGGATCCTGGCCCCGAAGGGCCGGGGAGGTGACCAGCATCGTGAGGCAGGGCTGGTTCCCTCATGTGTGACCCCAGACTAACCGCTTAACCTCTCCACAGCTCTGTGACCACCTCTGACGTGGGAGTAACAACTGTACCGCAGCATGGCAGGGGCTCGGGAGACCACCAAGGAGTGCATCCTGGCCTAGGCCTCATTTAATCCTACTGTACCTGAGACCACTTCACAGATGAGGGAAAAAAGGCACAAAGACTGGGGCCCCATCCTCATGGAACTGCGGGTGTGGCTACTGGAGGGAAAAGCAAAACTGGGCACTACCTGCCCCGGGACAGGGTCAAGACAAATTTCTGTCCAGTAAAATCCCACAGCCTCACTGGCTACTGGCTTCATTTCCCACCTACATACGCGGGACTTATGAAACCTGCCAGCCGCAGCGGGAGGGAACTTCCACCTGTGTGCTGGGGTGCCCGGACCCAACGGCTCCCACCCCTGCCACCTAAGAGTAGCTCAGCCATGCCCAGATCTGCACCCATCCCCACACAGAGGCCCCAAGGCTGCTCTCACTAGGTTTCACCTAGAATACAAGCGCATGCGCAGAGTCCCACTCACTGAGCGGGAAGCCGTGGGGTCACAGGCCTTGGGGACACGGGCGTGCCAACCATCAAACACATGGCTAGTGGGGTCAGTGGGACCACCTGTGCCACGCTTGGGGACAGACGACTGAATTCAGCGGGGAGGCTTGGGGCTCAGGGGCTCCCCGCCGAGGAGCTCACACAGACCCCACTAAGGACTCTGCTCCCTGTCCAGAGGCTTGTTGGGAGGAGAGCAGATGATGTGTGTCACACTCATCACGCACTTGTCACCTCGTCTCCCTTTGTACGAAAGCCTCTATGATGAGGTGACAGGAGACAGGAGCACAGGCTAGGGTGTGCGGAGGCACAGCAGGCCAGAAAGCCTCATTAGCACCACCCTGCTCCTCTCAGCACATCCTCAGCTCGGCCAGATAGGGGTGAAGGGCTACAGAAGGGGCCATTCAGCGCAGGGCAGAGGAAAGAGGGACTGGTGGCAGGAGCAAGTTGCTGAAATCAGCCACAATTGGGCCTCTTTGGCTGTGAACTGGTACTAGCTGCCCCTGCCTGGGTAGGGTAGGAGGCTCCCCAAGACACATGACTGCCCCTCGGTGCCACAGCCCAGCACACCGCAGGGAACCTTCCTGTGGCAGGACT